TTTTTTCCAAAAGCTTTAAATTCCCTAATTTGGTCTCAAAATGTGCATTATGGCCAACTCGGTTTTCATGGAAACCTCTTTCTGGTAATTATTGTGATTTCTCAAGTTTTTTTATTTTAATAAATTTTATAGGGCTTGGGAAGTTGCGAATAACAGAGGCGGCTAGTAGATAGATCATTGTTTCTTTTCGTGACCAGCTACAGTCACTCTATTAGAAAAAGCAGTTCCAGATTTGTTGGTTTTCTCCAGATTAAATTTTTGAAAAGCACCGTACTCCAGCAACTTTCAATATTTTTGTGAACCCTGAGAATCTGCCAAAGAGAGGAAATTGGATAAAACCATGGGCTATGACAACTTTCTCAAGTTGATGCCTTTTCGAAAACTATTTAATCCTGTTCGATTACCGGTTAGAATTACAATCAGCAACCATCAGTATTTATCAAAACAAATTACAAAACAATTTCAGATCTGTGAAATGTGTTACTACGACAACCTCGTATCAGCAGAAACGAGCAACAAGTCATTTAACATTTCGTGCTTTTCCTCATCAATTTCCTTTCACCTTTGCCTCTCACAGCTAGTGCAACAAAATACCAGCACTTCGCCCTGAAATTATATCAAAATGGATGCGAAGCAGCTATTTATAGGTAAATGCCGCGAAGATTGCCAGAGGCAAGCTAAGCGCCCCTTTCGTCCAAGGATAAGCCCCCGCCCCTCTCCGCCAGCCCCCTTGCCGATGGCAAGCCCCGCCCCTTTTTGGAAGCCCCTTATAAGTGGCGGTTTTGCTCATTTCCTTCATCTTTCTTCATCTAACGAACAAAATGGCTCGAACCAAACAAACCGCCCGCAAGCGGCGTCGACTGGAGGGAAAGGCGCCTCGCAAACAGTTCGGCCCCGCAAGGCTGCCCGCAAGTCAGCCCCCACAACCTGAGGAGTCATGAAGCCTCGTCGCTACCGCCCAGGAACTCGTCGCTCTCCGGGAAATCCGGCGCTGCCAAAAGTCAACTGAGCTTCTCATCCGCAAGCTTCCATTCCAACGATCCCCGTCGTCCGGGAAATCGCCCAGGATTTCAAGACTGACCTCCGCTTCCAACCGTCTGCTGTGATGGCCCTTCAAAAGCTTCTGATCGTACCTCGTCGGCTCTCTTCGAAGACACCAATCTGTGTGCAATCCGTGCCAAGCGAGTGACGATCATGCCGAAGGACATCCAACTTGCTCGTCGTATCCGTGGTGAGCGTTCGTAAGTGCTGAACGATGATTCAAACTAAACCCCAACCCAACGGCCAGCCCTCTTTAGGGGCCACAAATCGATTTGGGGGAAGGATAAAACTTTTGAAGATGTTTTTAAGATAAAAGGCCTCAATCTGATTTTATGAAAAGTTTGAGAACTAGTCGGGACTTGAATGAATTTCTGAATCTAAAGGCTATTCGGCCTGCAAGTTTTTTAGTGCCCCAAACCAACGTAGATGGGCAAATCTTAGCGAAATTTAGGCTCCATCGAACCAACGTAGGCCATTTGGTGCAATTTTGCCTGAATTTTTGGGCAGGACCTGCGTCAACAACGGCAAGCGAACAATCGAGTTGGCGGGGATCTAGTTCCAGTAATTTTTTACATTGTCTTGGACAACATTAAAAGTTGGTAAATATATATTTCCTTTTTAAAACTAAGGCACGAATCGGAAGTGTGCAAGTGGTGAAAGACATTGACCCGGAGAACAACAAGAAAGCCCATTGGCTCGAGCCACCCAAAAGTTGGGTATTTTGATCAATTTGCGGACTAACTCTATTTAAAATAATTTTTTGGCTTAGGAACTCAGCAATGAAACGGAGACTTCGGAGAAAGAAGGCTCGGCAAAAGATAACAACTCAAGTGACGCAGCAGAAAGAAGAAAGGGTTCAAAAGAGGTGTGCGAGATGTGAATACGTTTGTGTTTTTATTTTTAGGACGAGAAGAGTACGCGTCATGTTCCAAGAAGATACAAACAACCGATACAAAGAAAAACGAGGAAGAAACCGGCAAAAAGGATGGACAGAAAAGCTGCTTCGCGACAACATAGTGCGAGAGTTGGACAGTCATACGAGGATAACAACAAATCCAGCCAAATCGGTATGTTCCCTGCTTCTGGAGAAATCACGTAAACCCTGGATTGTGGGTTTGTGCCTGCATAGAGTACATTAATGTTTTGGTGTTTATAGGTGGCATTTAAGCCAAAGATCAAGCTCAAAGCCTTCATGAATAATCTTTACTTTTTATTTTTAGGTTCGGGAAATCTTGGAGCTTCTTGGCAAGGGCAGCTTTGTCGGAACCAAAATCACTCGAGCGCCTCCAATTCGAAGTGGACACCCTGCTCGAACTTCAAGATCTCGAGAGCGACCAGTCGGTTTTATTCAATAGATTATTTCATTAGAACCTGTTGTTATGTTGGTCTATAATTTGTTTCTTTCAGCTTTAGAAGCACTTCATCAAGATTATCTCGCGTGATCAGGCTGTGAGGTTTAAATTCGCCGTCCCAGAATTGCTCGGGCTCTGGCGTTTTCGACATTCGCACCAACGAAAATTTCACGTAAGCTTCGGCTGATACTGAAGTATTATACTTTTATTTTAGCAAGTCGGGTCTCTTCAAATCTGCATTCAAACGTGCAATGCTCTTCGGGATTTCCGCTCAGACGGTTTTCTGCATCTTGACGTGAAGTACATATAGATGTAATGCGTTTCTCAACCAGTCTTCTTAATGATTTAGGCTCGCAAATTACGCCGTTGGACGTACAAGCAAGATGTCATCTACATCTTCGACTTCGGTATCGCAAAGCGCTATCCGGTATCGGTCAAGAACGGGAAAAATTTTGCTCGGATGTAAGTCTTGCGTTGTTGTTTGGCAAATTGGAAAGTGTTAGTATTTTAATTGTATTTTTAGCAAGAAGCGCACCAATCTCGCTTCATGGAACGCTGAAGCATTGTCCGATAGCGGCACACGACGGGATCAGACAAGCCGCCAAAAAACGATATAAGCTTTGTGCTTGATTACTCGTGTTTGTAATCTTACCAATTTTAGGAGGCATAGTTCCGGAGCTTTATCATGGCACCGCCCGAAAATCCCCTCGAGGAGCTCGTTAAGCAAGAAGGATTACATGGGCGCACCGAGAAATCAAAATGCGTATTTACGGATTGCCTTACCTTTTTAGGCAAAGACGTGTTCGGCCAGAGCGTTGCCGTACTTCGAAACGATCACCACGTATCTTCGCGGTGTCGAAATGGATTACAATTTTATGATCATGATGTTACAGGTTAGTTGTTTATGATAGGATAAAAAATCATAATTTTTAGTCCGAAGCTGACAAGGAAAAGGTAAACATGAATATGCCGTTTTGATTGGATCAAAGACAATGTAAGTTAATATGTTTACTTCAAAATCGGGATTAACTTCTCATCGCTCGACTTATTACCATAGAAATAGTTTCTATTCCTAAATTGTCTTTTCATTGCTAGGCCGTGTCTATCTTTTGTGTGATTAATTTGTGATTTAATGAGAATTGCATTGGGTGACTAAATAAAATGTCAGAAAAAAACTGTGTTCCAAGAGTGGAAGCTTTTCAAAATCTTTGTCTATCAAGTATTTCTCGCCATGACAGCAAACAAAAAAAAGATCAATATGGGGCTCGTTTTTAAAAAAAAAGAAAAATTTCCAGATCGGTGACAAAAAAAAAAACGGTTGAAAGGTACAGGTTGTCAATAACAAAACACAGTTTTTACCGGGTTTATGCATTTCTTGAATATGTGTGTACGAATCGCTCGAACGCTAATACGGACATTGGCTGCGGATAATAAAAGATACATGGATTGTTTTGCTTTAATACAGTTTTAGTAATAAACAAGACTACAGTAGCTGAATAAAAGTATCTAATGTTTGGCTGGTGTTTCCACATACTCATACAGTAATCAAACCCAGTGAACTCACAGGATATTCAGTGCACGTAGCGGGCTACTCTAGATTTACTGTGGTCTATGAGGTCCGCTTTACTATTTTTGTTATCTTACAAATAAGCTACAAGTAACCCAAGTCGAAAAAGAATCTTTTCTCAACACAAAATTTCAATGAGCACCATTCGACTCAAACAATAAAAAAAAACAAAAATTTCACCGCTTTTCAGTTTCCCCTTGAAGTTCGCTTTTACTTTTCAGTTTTTTTACCTCAACTTTAGAGGTCACAATGAGTAGAAGATCATTTCCTATGGGCAAACGGAGGAGAAATCATGATGTTGATGAGAAAGAGGAGGTAAATTAAAAGAGAACGAAAATATAGCAGAAATAGAGCAGGAAAATATTCTCTCTCGGAAGCCTTTCAAACCGAATCGAAGTTGTACTTTTGTGCGAGGCGATCCCACCCTAAGGCGCACGTTCATCGCGGTGAGTCGACGACCGGGAACCGGCCGCCAACACTCGTCCATCACTTTCCACACGTCTTGATGACCTGGGAAATGGTTTCTCTTTTTTTTTGAGTTTGATGGTAGTTGAGCTTAAAGCTTAGTTGAGCTTCTTCTGCGAATTTATAGAATTTCTACGAATAGAACTTCTCTGTCATCTGACTAGCTGGCCATTTGTTTTCGAATTTATAGAATACAATTTTTTTGGCCTAGCTTGGCCAATTTTGGTCTAGCTGGCCAATTTTGGGCTAATTTTTTTGGCCTAAGCCGAACTAAATCGTATAGCTAAATTACTGCAAAAGTTCTATTAGTAAAAATCCTATAAATTCAGCGTGGATTTACTTAAGTATATAAAATCAATAAAAATCACTAAAGAGCCATAAAAACAATAAATAAATTACTGTAAATCAATAATCAATAAAATCTTCAATAAAGGAGTCAGCTTTTCAAAGGGAAAAACGTTCAAAGCTTATGAGCTTCGGGTCGCATTACCAAGTTTCAATGTTTCCATTCGAATAAACCGGACTTTGTGAAAGCCGCCACCGTTTGTCGAGTGCTGGCCTTTTTTCCCCGTTCATACCACCACCTGAAAATTTTGGAAAATTTGAAAATTTGAAAATTTTCATATTTCTGGGCTCTAATTCTAGAACTTAAACTCAAATTCGGCTTTTCCACCACTCACCTTTTTCATTTCCATAAAAGACGGATCGCGCGGCACGTGCTCCCAATAAGGCATCGATTCTTCGAATGGAGAGGCGTCAACTAAAGAAAAGACTTTTGAATCGATTGAACTGAACTGGAAAATTGAGCTCGACTTTTGAAAAAGACAACTTTTAAAAGATAGCCAGGTATCTTTAAAAGCATCCCTTTTACACAAAACTCACAATTCTCGGTTTTCGTTCGACTTAGAATCTCCCACATCACCAAACCGAAAGAGTACATGTCGGCCATCTGCAAAAAAATTGATTACCGTAGCCCTGATGCTTTCTAAAAGGTATCGATTTATTATTACTGGCCGTAATCAGTCGTTTTATATTTATATTATTTATCAGCGAATTTTTGATAATGATACAAGGTAAATGATACAAAAATTGGGCTAATTAAATGGAAATTAAATGAAAACTTTCGAGTTTAGAGGTAGGAATAGATGTAGGAATAGATGTAGGGATAGATGTAGGAATAGAGGTAGGAATAGAGGTAGGAATAGATGTAGGAATAGAGGTAGGAATAGAGGTAGATTACTACCTCTATTACTACACGTAAACTCGAAAGTTTTCTCATTTAATTTCCAGGAAATGGACTCGGTCTCTTTAACTAGTTAAAACTTGAACTAACTAACTAAACTTTAACTAATTCTCTTTAACTTTAACTTTAAAATCAATATTTTATTTTACCTTGAATGGCTCAAAACTTCTGAAGATGTTCTCTTCGATCAGGATCTCTGGGGCAAGGTAACGCTGAAAAAAGATATAAAAAAGATATAAAAAAGATAAAAGAAAAAGATAAAGAAAGAATAAGATAACAAATAATTAAATAAATAATCGAGATTTCATTTCGATTTTTTGGAAAGATCGATCAGGATCGAAAAATCGACAGGAGTCACAATTTGCTTAGATTATTGTTTATTCAAGTTCTTTTGTTCATTATAAATGTTCATCTTTGTTTTTTCTATTGTAATTGATTTCTATTTGATGACTAAACCTACCGTAGTCCCGCATCGGGTATTCTCGGGAATGGTGTTCAATATCCCATTCTCGTATGAACCGCTAAACCCAAATCAGCGATCTAAAGAAAAACAAAAGTATATTTATTTATAGATAGAATTGAATATTAGATAATTATTATTAATTATTGAATATTAGATAATATTCTTTCTTTCTTTACCCACCACACAAGTCTTATCGGCTTTCACGAGAACATTCTTGCTTTTAATGTCACGATGCGCGATTGCTGGCTTGTCTGAAAAGAGGTTATTGAAGTTCTTTTTGGAAGAAACTACAGTGACCTGGCTATAGTAACCCATCTCTGCTTCATCAGCTACCCAAACTATAGTAATTCTATACTAAGCATAAGCAGTACTAGACTTGCTTACACGAGTCCGGGGCAGGGATTTCCAGACGGTCTGCCTCGCTCTTCGGATTTTTAATATCCAAAAGCTCCTTCGAGTATGAAACCCATTTCCCCTGCAAGCCCTTGTTCCTAGACTTCATTTGATACTAAACATGGCTAGGTTCTGTGTTGCCATCCTTTTGATTTCGATCAATCTTTCGCCGGACTCGATAAACTTAACGAGTCAAGAAAAATTTTATCTAAAATGATCGAAATCTAAAGAATAGTAAATAATAGGCTACCTAGCCATGTTTAGTATCAAAATGAAGTCTTGAATAAGGGCTCGTAGGGAACCGGGTTTCATACTCGGAAGGAGCTGGATAGTAAAAAATAGAAGTTACGAGGCAGACTATCTGGAAATTTTGCCCGGACTCGCGTAAGGCGGTCGACTCCATACTACAGTAAATGAGGTGTATTAATTTAGCTACAGTAACCCTCTGCCACAGCCACAGTAATCTGGCTACAGCTTTTGAAACACTAAATTGTCCAGGAATCTCCGGAGTGCGGAATTGCATTCCGTTTTGCGAACGAAGCGAAGCACTAGAACGGCCAAACCGGGTATCGATCACCTAAAAGTTGATGGAAAAATGACGAATCTAAAATCTAGCGCTTACATGGATGTACTATGTTTTATTTGCTATTTTTATTTATATATCTTTATATGTACTATGTTCGAACTCATTCTCAGCCAGGAAATCGTACACCGATCCGAACGGATGATATTCAGTGATCCCAACCAGAGTTCCAATTGAAGGCCCGTATCTGGAAAGGGAAATTGGATCCCAAATTTATATGAGCCCGGTAACTCGAAATAACTAATTAGACTAATTAGGACTGCTATAACTAATTAGAATTAATTCGGTCAATAATAATATAATAATAATATAACAATAATATAACAATAATATTATAATAATATTATAATATAATGATAATATAACTAATAATAATAATAATATAATCTTCTTTAATCAAATTATTCCCTTAATCCTTTCTCTTTTCAAATCTCTAAACCTTTTTTATCGCTTGCAATATACTTTGCAAAATGTTCGCGTGACGTAGCCACCGGTGTTGTAGATCTCGACTTCTCTCGAACACTTTCCATACTTTTGATATTAATCTACAAGAATCTGAGCCTATATGCTGTTAACGAAAACTCAAAGGACACAATCCTTTACTACAGAAACCCAACTAAGCTGTAGCATTGTAGGGAATTGCTGTAACACTCTTCCATGCTCACTCTATCGTGAATCAGCAGTGATTACAGCATCTACAGTAACCACTACCTTCTACAATATCTGCAACTACTGCAAAACTAAAAAATCTAAACTACAGTAGGCTAAACTTAGACTACAATGATCTGAGCCTATTCCGCATGCTCTTACCGGAAAACTCGAAAATACCTGTCTCCAGTTCAGGTCCTAGGCTGCCTCCAGTCCAGAATCCCAAGCGTCCAACAGAATCCTAACCTGCCTCCAGTCCAGAATCCTGGGCTGCCTCCAGTTCAGCCACAAACCAACTTGAATCCCAAGCTGCCTCCAGTCTCAGAATCCTAACCTGTCTCCACGTCCAGAATCCTGGGCTGCCTCCAGTTCAGAATCCTAAGCTGTCTCCAGCTCAGAATCCTAACCTGCCTCCAGTCCAGAATCCTGGGCTGCCTCCAGTTCAGGCAAAACCAATCCTAACCTGCCTCCAGCTAAAAGCGTTTATTTTTCTTTAGAAATTATAAAGATTTTATAGTTTTATGTAATTATAGAGATATAAAGAATTTCTTTCCTCTTTCTATTCATAAATAATAATTATAAAAGTGGCAAAAATTCACATTCATCATTCATTTGTGCCATTCTGCTCTTCCCCGTTTGAAAGTTTTACAGCAGTTTTATAGGCCAAACGGCTTTTAAAATTCTTTCAAAAGCCTAGCAAATTTCAACGAAAAGAGAGGAAAGAATTTCCTAGAAAATGGTATAATTTGTAAGGAAAATGAACGTTTCTAGCCGAAGATATCTAGCCGAAGATCTAGATTCAGCCGAAGATCTAGCCGAAGATCTAGCCGAAGATCTAGCCGAAGATCTAGCCGGAAGATCCAGCCGGAAGATCTAAATGAAGATCTAGCCATGAAGATGGAGAAAATTAAATACAAGATCGTAAAGATCATAGCCGAAGATCTAGCCGAAGATCTAGCCGGAAGATTCAGACGAAGACGCGAGACTGAAGATCCCAAGATCTAAGCTTAAAGATTGCCAAAGGACACCGAGCTGCGTGATCACCTGGCCAAGCAAAGCTTCAAGATTGGGTTTTCGGAGTTTCCGGTAACAGCCAGGTGCCTTTGATTTTGAAAATATTATAAATTTTGAATCAAAAAGATTTCTGAAAGATACAGTAACCCACTTGGAGTCTTATCAGTCTTATCATTGGCTCACCTTGCCCACGAGCTTTCATCCCTCGAACAGAAGATTTTCACGGCTACATTCTCACCCCCGCCATTGGCCAAGTTTCCACCTGAGTAAAAAAAAAAATATTAGTAAATAAACTAGATCGATTTCTATAATCAAATTCCATTTCTAATTTCATTTCATTCCATTTCTAATTTCATTTCATTTTAATTTCCCCTCTCTAATTTCATTTCATTTCTTAAAACCTCCAAATCGTCCACTTCCCACATCTTTGATGATGTTGATTTGAAGGGCGATTGTCTGCTTGGATTAAAAGGGGAAGACCTAAAAAGAATGAAAGAAATTGTTCTGGCTTTATGCTTTTGTACTGCTGCTTTGTACTTGTACTTGCACTGCTTTGTACTCCGTACTTGTACAAGTCTCTCTAGTAATCCTGAAACCATTTCCCCTTCTAGGAAACACATTCAATCAATAGAAAATGCGAAGTTTGTGCTTTTGATGCACAAAAAATGGATCCAATAAATAGTGTCAGGTTACAGTACTCAAAAAACCGCTATAGTGTACTCAAAAATGCGGTCTACGCTAATCCGATACAAAAGGAAACAAAAGAAATGCACTCACCGGATCCACTTCCCGAAATTTGGTGGGATCTAAATCCTTGAGCAATGTGGACAAAGTGCCTCCATCACTCGTCAACACCGTACCAATCGACATATCATTTTCTAAGAAAGTAACAATATTCTACGATATTTCAATTTTAGCTTTTCAATGGTTACCACCTTGTGGCGTCATCGACGTGACAACGATATTCGGATTCTCAGCGGAAACACGGAGTGTACTCTAAATGTACTCTGTCTCTAATGTGCTCTTACTCTAAATGTACTCTGTACTCTAAATGTACTCTGTACTCTAAATGTACTCTGTACTCTGCACTCTAAATGTACTCTGTACTCTGTACTCCTAAATGCATCTGCTCTAAATGCACTCTGTACTCCTAAATTCATAAATTGATGTTTAACAAATTTCCTTTTAAAGCTACAATAAGCCTAAAATAGGAAATTTTACCATTTTAAACAACTTTCCCCGGTGTCGGTGTTGATTGATCTCGATCTTCGCTTATTTCTTCTTCCTCGATGAACCCTTCCATTCGAGTGTATGTTAGCATCGGGACATAGGATTCGACGAAGAGCTGAATTATCGATTTCATTCAATATAAATAGATATTCGATCGAAGATTATAGCAATTTCATTGTAAAAAACAAAAACAAACCAGGATTCACGAGCTCTTTGCTTTTCTATCCGGATCGACGTTGACATAGTGCCCTGGAAAAGATTTGCGTTTCATTCTTTTAGGGTTTTGTTTTGTTTTTGTTTTTCGGCTAACCAGGCTACCTCAACCTCAATTATTCTCATTCTTCTACCTACCGTAAATACTGTAATAGTAATTCCCACCCTCATAATGACGATGCGGAGTGTTGTGTAGTCTAGCTTTGAACGAGTTCTTCTCGACACGTTTTATGCTACAATGCGCGTTTAGGTATCAAAAAATAGCTGAAATTCAGAGCTATTTTTTGATACACCTAACTCGTTCACTCAATTTCAAATGCTACGCGATGCTCCGGCCTACGCGATGCTCCGGCCTACGCGATGCTCCGGTTCCTACGCGATGCTCCGGCCTACGCGATGCTCCGGCCTACGCGATGCTCCGGCCTACGCGATGCTCCGGCTACGCGATGCTCGGCCTACGCGATGCTCCGGCCTACGCGATGCTCCGGCCTGCGATGCTCCGGCCTACGCGATGTCAAAGCCTACGCGATGCTCCGGCCTACGCGATGCTCCGGCTACGCGATGCTCCGGCCTACGCGATGCTCCGGCCTACGCGATGCTCCGGCCTACGCGATGCTCCGGCCTACGCGATGCTCCGTACCGCGTGCTCCGGCCTCGCAGGTAGCCGGCCTACGCGATGCTCCGGCCTACGCGATGCTCCGGCCTACGCGATGCTCCGGCCTACGCGATGCTCCGCCCTACGCGATCCCGGCCTACGCGATGCTCCGGCCTACGCGATGCTCCGGCCTACGCGATGCTCCGGCCCCTACGCGATGCTCCGGCCTACGCGATGCTCCGGCCTACGCGATGCTCCGGCCTACGCGATGCTCCGGCCTACGCGATGCTCCGGCCTACGCGATGCTCCGGCCTACGCGATGCTCCGGCCTACGCGATGCTCCGGCCGTCATTATAAAAAGGATGACGAGAAAATGCGTTTAAAGTTAGACTACGTGATGCTCCGTTTTTTGATATCAAAAATAGCCCTCAATTTACTCTATTACTCTTCGATACTCAAAAGACGCATTTTTGAAAGTACGGGTGCTTTGCAAAAATGAAATACTAAAAACTTTGCACGACTACGCGACTGTACGAGGAGGGTGGGGTACTATTAGCAGTATTTACGGTAACAAAATTTTACCGGTGTTGTTGAGTTTCTCGTGGTTGATTGACTGTTTTCGAAGGCCATATTGCGACGTGACCAATCAACGGGATCTGATGCTCACGAGAAAGAGCTTGAAGCTAAAAAATGACTATAGAAATCTTTGTCGATGATTGTCGATGAAAAAATTGGAGAAATTAGCCAACAAAACCCACGTCGTTCGGCGCCGAGAGCTCATCAGCGTCTCGGATGCGCCAACACTGACTCGTCCACGACTTGTCGGGCGTGTGATCGCTTTGCGAAAGTAGTTTCCTGCAAACGCATTTTTGTTTTATTGTGACAATTTTGACAGCAATTCTCAGCATTTAATCGATGAAATACTTGAGAATAAGCCTGTACTTTTCAAGGATTCTAAAATACTTGAGAATATAATTTTCTAATCGATAAAATACTTAAGAGCATAATTTTCTAATCGATAAAATACTTAAGAATACAATTTCCTAATAAGCCTATGCTTTTCTAAGGATTTTAAAGCTAAAGAGTATGTAGTCCCTCAATTTTCTAATTGTAATTGTAATTCCATAATCGCAATCCTAAAGCACACTTCAATTTAGCTCTATTAAGCCGATCAAATTCAAGCCACAACTACAATTTAGCTTTTTTTAATGAACAAATCAAATAAAAATTAGCCTATCAAACGCTAATCTAGTTTTAAATTCAAAAAAAGAAATCTTAAACCCATCTTTTCTTACTCTTTTCTTACTCTTTCCTTTCAAACTCACCGAAAATCGAGAGCTATCCCACATTTTGTAGGCGAAAACGAGCAGGCAAATTGCCACCAAAACCCCAACACCGATCAGGATCAATTTCACGAGTAAACGCTAGGGAAATTTTGAATATATAATAGTATTTTGAATAGCAGATTTGAGAAGTTTTTGAATTTCATAAAAAAAAGTCAAATTTTCAAATCCAACCCTCTTGTGGTGTGTTGCTCTTGGATGAGGGGCTGAAAATTCTTGAATTAGAATTAGGATTAGAAATCAGAATTAGAATTAGAATTAGGATTAGAATTAGAATTAGAATTAGGATTAGAATTATAATTAGGATTAGAATTAGAATTAGAATTAGAATTAGAATTAGGAAAAGAATTGCTGCCTGAATTTTCCTACCGCTGTGTCGATTTCATTTGTGCAAAGCGGAGTGTAACAGCAGCTAAATTTCATTGATAAATCGTTTTCTCACAAATAAAAACAACTAAACCGATGTTCCCCTTGAGCGTTGCTGAAGTTGCAAACGCCGGCGTAGAAAATGCGGTGACAACTGGAAAAGCCTCGATTGGATTTTACAATCGACTTTACAACTGAACTCAAAGCTCGATTTATTCAAGCTTTGTCATTAGATGATGGATAGTTTTTGAGTTCACTATTGAATCCGATCAAGGTCAAGATCGATGCTTGTCTTTTGACTGAACCAGATTCTAGATCTGGCTTCTGATCTCACATCCACTTCTTATTGGCCTAGAAAATGATTTTGATCTACTTGTTATCTGGCTTGGAAAATGGTTTGCAGACCTAGGAAACCTGGAAGCCGGTGTCGAACCGGCTTCAGTTGACCTTTCGTTTCAGAGAAAGCACTAACCATTACACAAAGGCTGTGAACGTTCCCCCGAAATGCTTATAGATTTCCTCAACGAAAAATCAATGTTTAGCCAAGCTAGGTTCAGTCTCTCTTGACAGCCTAGCCTGAACTGGTTTGTCTCTAATCTGGCCTGAGCTCCTCTAATCCAGCCCCAAAGCGTCAGCACAAACTGGCCAGTTCAATCACAAACACTCAATTCCTTGACTCACTCATAGACGGCCGTCGTGATTTAGTGTTTGCGTGATGAAAGACGATGACTCTGCACGCGCTCTCCACCCCTCGCCAGGCAAGGCCATATTCGCGTACTCTGGGCCGACTTGATGCTCCAACTGAAAAGAATCTCGTTTATACGGTATTTGATTTGAATCATAATTCCACCTCAGTGCACTGATCGGAGCCTGCCGAGCAATTACAGAGACGACTCTCTCGTTCAGATTGATGCCCGTATCAGTCAATGTACTCTCGACTACCAAATTAAGAAGTAGAATAAGGGCTGACCTCTCAACTGAAGGGGATTGGGCTGGGATGAGTTAAACTCCACCAATAAAAAACAGTTACCCCAAACTAAGTTAGACTCCAAGTTAGACTTTCTACCTAAGTTAGACTCAGTTGGACTCAAGTTAACCTAAGTTAGACTGAGTTAAACTGAAGTTAGACTCAAGTTAGAACTAAGTTAGACTCAAGTTAACCTAAGTTAAACTAAATGTTAGACTCAAGTTGTAAAGATTGTTTTGTTAGACTAAGTTTAATTGCTCAAACCAAGTTAGACTCAAGTTAGACCTTTAAGTTAACCTAAGTTAAACTAAGTTACGGGCTCCAATTTTCGTTAAACTAAGTTAAACTCAAGTTGTATCTTGATCACAATGTCCTTCATTATATTTGATTTAATCCACAGATAAATCCTCCAAACGTACCCGGATTCTCGTGCAGAAAGCGCACTAATTTCTTCGTCAAGCGCTCACCATACGATAAATCATCGAATTCCTAGCATTTTATTATTTAGTACAATAGTTTTCCCTTTAAAATTGCCCACCTCGACGCTTCCCGAGCATCTCATTTCTCTCCGAATCAAGCAACGTTGAATTCTGAGTAATTTTTGAAATCAAAAGAACATAAATTATATGTAGATTTAATTTAATATAAAAGAATGATATCTCTTTCACCTGTTCATCCGAGTACTCACAAATACTCAAAGAAAAAAGAAGTAAGAGCGAGAAAACCCGTCGACCCTTCATCTCATCACATATTTCAAAACGAACGCGAGAATCTAGATAGAAAACCGATTGAAACCTCTCAAATTCCCTAAAATTTATCAACTATAGAAAGTATTGGAATGTTGGTGTTTATTTAAATGAAACTATTGATTCAAATGAAATAGATTGACTGAATAAAAGCTAGAGTAGGATAAAAGCTTAGAGCTAGCATTGGACTAGTCAAAGGTTTATGACAGTCAAATTGACAGTCAAGGATAATGTTTAAAAAATAAAAACGTTTTAGAAAAGAATTAAGTCAAAAGCAATGGGTAATGATTATCAAAGTTATGTTTTATTTTTATGTAGAGCTTTTTTTTTGGAAAGAAACGGGGAAATGCCAGCTGATTGTTTGTGAGGAGACAGAGGGGAAATGGGCATTGGAGTCTTGTGGAATAAAGTGGAAAGAAAAGGGAAAGAGATATTCAACCAAAAGAAGAAGATATTCCCATAAAGAAGGAAAAGAAATGCGTTGAGAAAGTTATGCATGAGATTATTGGGGCAAAAAAATCAAACCAAATCAAATCAAAAAAATCAAACCTGTGTCCGCGTCAACTCTTTCCAAATGTTCGAGGAACGGGATTTGCAAAAAGTCTAGCTGAAAATATTGATGCTAGATATTGAATAACGAAAGCTAATTGATTGAAAAACGATCAAAATCAAAATCTCAAGATTATTTTATGAAATGGGCATTGGAGTCTTATGGAATAAAGGAAAGAAAAGGAAAGAGATATTCAATCAAAAGAAGATATTCAATCAAAAGAAGATATTCAATCAAAAGAAGATATTCAATCAAAGAAAAGATATTCAATTAAAGTGGTAAGAAAAGAAATGCGTAATGAAAGTTACGAAGGAAATTATTGGGCAAAAATTTATAAAAGTTTTCGACTGGAA